TCTTCTCTTTTCTTCCCCCAAATTGTCTTGGCCATTCTGGGTTCTTTGCAGTTTCATAAAAATCTTAGGATTAGATTGTCATTTGAAAAAAACCAAGCAAAAAACCTGCAATATCTCCTAGGTATGCCTGTTCTTTGTTTCCACTATTATGAGTGGAATTGAGAGCAGTATGATTTAATTTAAAAATTAAAAGCATTTGGACTCAGGTCAAAAGACCTGGGGTTTGAATACTCTCCAGTTATCAATTTTTCACTCTGGATTCCTCAACCCCAAAATTATGCCAATAATACTGGAATCCTCACTTGGGAGGCAGCACCTAGTTTCTGATTTCATGCCAAAAAGCTTCCTTTCTCCCACCCTAATCATTGTTCGTCTTCAGGCGATCAGAATACTAATCCAAATGATCATTTTACAACTATGATTAGGCTACATTTATAGTGAGGGGTCACTATTTGTCAACAGATGACATATGTATGTGTTTCTCTCTGTTTTCCTTCTGCTTCTGTTGTTTCCATGCTCTAGTATTAGGAGCCCTAAAGTCTGACCGATATTTCTGTCAATAAGGTTTGAAGAGAAACTTGTAGTTTGGTTTTATCTTTTCCTAAAGGAAATGTGAACTAGCATGTGTTGAAGACACCAACAGAAAGGACGCAAAGGCAGGTGACAGAAGGAGAACTCCTCTGAGTGTGGCATGAGACAAGTGTGGAGACAAATCCCCGAGTGCAGAGAGTGCTTGCCTTTTTAATGAGCTAGCAGGTGATGGATGCCTCTCTGGAGGATCCTTTGCTTCCAAGAGGGAAAAAAGTATAATTGAACTTATAGATTGTTCCTTCTGCTCTACAGAAATCTGTGTGTGAGCTCTGAAGGACAGAAGCTCTATTAAGTTCCTAGTGAGTGGGGTTAGACTCTCAGTGAGTTGGGGTTATAGATTTTTGACTTGTACCTTCCTATTAATATTCATTAGATTTGGATATTATCAAATCAATAGTGGTTTATTTTTAAACTCCTAAATTTTTTACATGCACTTTTATGTTGTTTAACTATTTCTTAAGATTTTTTTGTCTTTTTCTATTTTCTTCCTTTTCAGATTTTTCCTTTTCTTTGTACTAAGTTGTCATAATGGGTTATCTGAAGAACCATTTTCTAAACATTAAACATTATATATGATAACTACTGAATAAAATATAAATCTCAAGTAAAATAAAAGTTTGGAAAGAGATCAGTGAAGCCAGAGACTGACAGTGGAGGCTGATTACAAAGGGGCTGAATCTAAGGGAGGTGATAGAGCTGCTCTGTATCTTGATTATGGTGGTGGTTACCCAAATGTACACAGTTGTCAGAACTCATAGAACTGTACACTTCAATACACTTAAAACGTGTGAATTTCAAAGTTTGTAAATTGCAATTCACTAAGATAGATGAGGGATGGGAAGTTCCAATCTGAAAACAAATTAAAATAGTTACACTGAGTTCCACAGGAATGGGAGTGGTGGGGGTATAAGTTCTTACTCTTTAGAGACAGCATGTTGTTTTGGCCACAAATATAGTCCTTAGAGCCAGGGGGACTGAGTTCGCCCTGTAAGCTGCAGAATTCTCTGTTGCCTCAGTTTCCTGATCTGTGAAATGAGTTAACAACAACAACAACAACAAAACAGAAGTGAGCACTGAAAATTGAAGGCTTTGCAATTGGAGAAAGTGTCTGATGTCTTTTCCCCCAGCCTCACTCTCGGTGAGATCACCCTTGTCTCTGCTGAAAAATAGTCTTCATCACGAACACCCCCCATGTAACTCTGCCCAACCTGCCATGCCAGGCAGCCACTGATGAGTAAACGCTCTGGAATAAACCTTAGAGAGAGAATAAATCACCTCCATGCCATACTCCCTCCAGGTGAGGACTGAGGTCATTGCAAGAGGCATGACAAATAGTCCACATAATGTACCAAACTAATAGGTTCTATAAGGGAAACGAAATGGAAAATTTTTCTTGAGTACTAGGCACCTCTGGCTGAAGAGATAGTAGGGCCAGTGTTATTATAGATGTAGTGGAATCAATAATACCTTTTCATTCATTTCTTTCTCATTTCACAAAAATGCCTATTTTAACCAGCAGAGAGGTAAGGAGATATTAGATATTGTCAAGGGCAATTTTTCATTCTCACATGGATTATATTCTGGGACATTGCTCTTCTAAATAGCTCCATTTCTGTTTTTTTTTCTTCATTTTTTTTCTCTCAGAAATGTATTCAATTTTCTTCCAGCAGCATGAATTCATCTGGAAAGCTATGGCAATCAATTAAGTAAATGGGAAAATAGAATGCTTTTAATGATGATCATCAAGCTATATGGAACCCACCCTCTTAGGTCTAAAACCCACACATCTTTAAGCAATATATTAATTAAGCTTTGGGTAATACTTACAATTAGAATCAAGCTTTTATGATTTTTAAAAATCACTCTGAGAGAGAAAAAGGAAATGTTTGAAAAATAATATGCAGCTGTTGGTTTTTAATGCAATTCATTATCATGACTATGTTGTCACTTCCTTGGATGCATGGAGACAATTCCAGTTTGTTTTACTGATGAGCCTCCTCATATACAATTGGAGGAATTTTGTATGTAGCACTTTTTCCAGATGTTTCCCTGTTCCTCTAAGTAAGAGGTTGGCAAACTTTTCCTGTGAAGGACCGGATAATAAATATTCTAAGCTTTGAGAAAGTTGAAGCTATATGAAAGTACTTACATAACAAATTTCCACAGTTCCTGCATTGATAGAATTAAAAATATAATAAAATTATAACTGAGTACAATTTTGGAGGGGTGGCAATAAACACCTGCTGATGAGAAGGGTAACTTCTTACTGTTGGGATAATATTTTGCTTAGTGGGGTTCAACATTAGTGTCTCCTGTCACTAAGTCATTGCAGATGTTCATCCCGAAACCATCCTTAGATCCTGGGAAGCAGGCTAGCTGTGGCTCGGAGGGCAGTTTGCCAGTCCCCGCTCTTGATCAGTGTTCTCAGCTTCAACGTGCAGCAGAATCACCTACAGGGCTTGTTGAAACAGGCTGCTGAGCCACACCCCCAAGTTTCTGTGGGCATTTCTAACTAATCCCTACCTGACACGGATGCTCCTAGTCTGAGACAATACTTTCAGAACACTGTTCTTATTGTCGGTCCTTTTAAAAGGTCACATTGAATACAAATCTATCCATTTTAAATTTTCATCGTTTACGCACATATTTCAGCCCACCTGATAGATTTTACCTTTTTGAACTCTGAGGTACAGGGGTAGTAAATCCAAAGTTAAATTTCCATTAAAAAGTAAAGAAGATCTATTTAGCTAGATCAGGATTGATAACAAAAGGGACTTTCGTCTCTTAAATAGCTAATAGTCTCTTGCTTATAGTGTCAGGCATCAGCAACACTTACTTGTCTGCTGTAAAGAATTCCTGAATAGCATCTTTCCTGTCCGCTCAAACTTTTAAAATAGTATGCAATATTCCGAAGGGTATATGTAGGTGAAACATAAGACTGACAGTTCTGCCTTAGGTTCACCATGTACTAACTCACCAAGCACATTAACAACATTATGCTCTCTGGATAGAATTTGTTGGCATGTTTAACACATAGAATTTAACACAAAAACTTTCCTGAGGCCACCAAGGGCCAAGGGAGATACCTGTTTCCTAAGCCCGGGAGTTGCCCATGGCCTACTAGACCAAATCATCTCTAAGTTGACTGTTAAGTTGCACCGGGCTCTCCAGCTGAGCTCTGAACAGGTTGAACTGCTACCTTTATTGAGGTTATGGAGTTGCTTGATGATGCCAAGGCACTGCTGATTGTAATGATCACATCTCACCAAAAAAATTCTCGCGGAAAAGAAGCAAAGTGGAAAATATGTTCTCCTTCTGTTTATTTGTCCCAATGTTTTAAAAAATCAGCTTTATGGAACCATAATCTCCCTCATGACAGATGGGCTTACACATTAGCATCGTGCTTTCAATCAACAGTTTACATTTCAAGAGGAAGGTGAAGAAACCGAATGTAAAGACATCTTCAGCATCTATTTGTCACTTTCAGTTTTATAACATTGATACAAAAAAATAGTATTCTGATTAGCAGCTTGATTGGCAACCCATGTAACCCTAAACAGTACTACAAACCTGGAGAGTGCACTTTTACAGACAATTACATTTGGCGAAATAGTATGTACAATTTTGACAAATAAATACATAAATACGATCATTCATCTATAACGATATACCTAAATGTCAATTATCATTAACAAGTGTTTCTAGTAAATTACTTCTTTCATTCACAAGGTACTTTGTTGCTTATAAAAACTATCTTCACCTTTACAGAAGAAATCACATAATCAATGCCCCCACTAAACCCACATATTAGGAAAGGTAGAAAATGAATCCCAGACGCTTTATGTAAATATTCCATTGTCTTTTGACAGAAGAGATTGGATTGAAAACCTCCTTCCTTAGCTTCTCTGTAAAGAGTTTGTTTTCCCCATATCATATCACACAAAGGGGTTTTGTTCTGAATTTAATCCAAACAAAAAATGATCTTCATTTTTTATTCTAGTTATTTAAAAATACAATATTATATATTGAAAACTGGCATTTGCACCAATAAAAGAAGACAGAAAGCCACACAAACTAGCCACCAAAGGTAAAACTTTTTCCCCAAAAATAAATTTAAGAAAGAAAATGCAAGAATACAGACACTAATTATTAATACTTTTTGTTACCCAACGCAAAATGAACAAAACATGTAGAGGGATAGTCAGAAGGCTTTCGTAAAAACTGTCTGAACGACTCCTAGTACAATACTGTCCAAAGTATTATTTTATACCAGAGAAATGATAGTCAAGTTTTTAAAAATGGCATCACAAATCATTGAAACTATAATTTGGCCAGTGTCATAAAATTAACAAAGGTAGAAAATTAGAGCATTTTCTGATCACTTGACTTAAACATAGTTTTGAACATTCAAAAAAACAAAGGGCAAACATGCTTTAGGCTATTGGAACTGGACAAATGGCCTTGCCTCACCAAGCTCCATGCAGAAGGAAGTGTACCCAGCAAGCACATTCTAGCTGTACGTAAAGATGGGGAGAAGAAAAACCGGCCTTTAAAATATATACATATGGGCTTCGATGAATATTTACATGTTTGTCACATGGGCACTACCTAGCATAAAAAAGTTAGGAAATAGTTCTTTAAGACATGTGATTCTCTGATTTTTGCTCCTTTTAAAGATTAGGGCTCTATTCATAATGTACACACACAGACACACAGACAGACACACAGACACACCCCCCAATTCACAGATGTACATATATGATGTTTATAATGCGTAATTCCTTGACACCAATGGTGACTTGACTCGGCATAAGGTAAATGCAAGACAGTGTATGAGACAGAGGCTTGACTTGGCCACGCGACTGAAAGGTGAACCAAGTACAAAGTCGTGAGACCTCTGCAGTGATTGAAACTCACAGCGGTTAAAGGTTGGGGTCGGAGGGTGGCTCGCCTGTGCTAACCCATCTCTCCCCAGTTCTTACAGTTCTGTTGACTGTAAGGGGAAAGATGTGCTAAGGGACTGGGAGGCCTGTCTCGTACTGGGTTGTTCTAGCGGGGGATGAGATATCCAGTGTTTTCAGGAAATAGGCCATGTTTCCATTTATTCGTTTTGTATACCTGTTTGCTATCAACTTCTCGGGGGGCTTCCAAAGTCAGGTTAAAAAAAAAGGCATACTCCCTCAGTTGGGGGCCTTTCTCTGAATGAAAACAGTTTTCTAGTGAATGGTAGAAGATATGGAATGTGCGGGTTTGCTGAGAGCCTATTCTGATAGAAGAGGAAGAGCTCCACTGATCCTCCAAGCTCTTACTGAGAATTCAGATCAAGTGTTTCCTGAGATCTAAGTTGATGTGATACATTTTGCAAAGCATGTGCTTCAATTATTCTACTATGCCCATGGCCAGAGGCTCCTCCCCAAAGAAAGCCCGCTGCCTTCACTTTCAGCACCCTGGGAGATCAGGGCGATGCGCTGAAATACTAACTTATTCATTGAAACCAGAAGAAATGACAGTGACATTGAAGCTTCCCCAAACACCTAACATTTCCAAGGAAAAGTCAACGTCTTAGAAGAATCGGGTGCACTAATAGTTCATATTTGATCTTTAGTTTGGCAGATTTCATATTAACATGATGTGACTACTACTTTTGACCATCGTTGTAATTATGTAACTATTTTAGCATTTAGCATAATGCATGATACATTGCATTTCGTAGCACCTTTTAAACCAAGGATCTCAAAATACTTAGCAAATGCGATTTGCTCTCACAGCACCTGTGAGGTAGGTGTTTTTTCCAGCCATTTTATAAATGAGTGTATTTGAAGCACAGTAAAGTAAAGATGCCTGCTCACATGACCCAACAAGTATTACGGCATCAGCAGAACCTGAACCCAAGCTTCCCCTTCTTTTTCCCATGAACCTCAATCACAGAGACTTCTGAACACCTCCTACCAGCACGGCTGCTAGAGGTACTTGGGTGTTTCGGGTATTAGAGAGTGTCACATCTCTCAACTGTAGGGCGAACTCATTCAATAGCATTGGTATCTGTTAAAAGATTTTCTCATGTACTTTGCAAATGTGTGGGAGGGGCATCTTATACTATTGCTAAGCTTATGTTAATTATAATGCATATATAAATTTGTATTTTCTCCGTGTGATTTATTGTTCTGGCCTCCCACCAGCTTATTTCTACACATGTGCCTGCCTGAGACAGAAACTGTAAAATGCACTTAGCGACATGGTATGGAGAGGAGCAGAAAAGATGACATTTGGCAAAGTCTCCTTGGAGGCACCGGGTAATGTTTGTTTAATGCACAAGCAGAATCCTTTTCCAAACATGCAAAGTATCTCACTCTTAAGTTTAAATTTCCATTTTTTAAAACTGCATCCTCCCTGCCTGTGCTAAGTTCATTTCTTGTTGGTACCACAAATACTGTACACACGATGTGGCAATATATGTAAAAATTCAATGTAATAGCACACGCAGTATTAATCATCACATCCAGTGTGTTTTCCTGACTGTGTAGTATTTCTCAATTGTTTTTGAAAAAGAGTTACTTATTTATTTACTTCTGCAGAGATGCTATGAAGACATTACTATGAGTTTCAGTTTCCCAGAACCAGATTTGTATCTCAGATGTACAGTATGTAAATCATAGAAGTTGTTAGGAAGCTGCTTTTTGAGATAAATGCAAGGCCTTCGGACCTGAGAATAAAATCTGGCCCTTCTCACTTATGCATTGTCTCTATGATCAAAGCCTAACACGTGTAAATTGGCTATCCAAGAAAGGAACTTGGAGTGGGAAGAAAAAGCTTTTTACAAAACCCCTTCACCAGTTCATGTCTCCTGGTGACACCTGTAAAATACCAACACCCTAAACCCCATTTCTTAAAAAAGAAAAGAAATGTATTTACATTGGTAAAAATCCTAACATCTGAGATGTTTCTTGCTTGACATGTCATTCCAGATTCTGTGCATCTCTTCTGGAGAGATCTGATGCACAGTGATAACCCGGCGGTACCTACACAAACTGTAGGCCATTTTCCAGTGATTGAAGCCACTGTTCTGGAAAGGATGTATGCCCAGCTTGCGGAGACACAGTCCTACATATACATCTTCAAGGTGGAGCAGCCTGGTGTGGAGTGAGGTCTTGTAAATGAGCTCAGCCACATCGGCTGAGAAGATATAGCCAGTCCCCGAACAGAACGGTGGGTAGTTACTGTCGGGGTACAAATCCCTGGGCATATACCACTTACTGCGGACGTCCCGGATGGGCCCTCCATTGATGACATAGCCAGTAAAATACCTTCTTCGTGGCTTGGTGGAGGGTTTTAGTAGTTTATAAATAAGGTTGTCCATGTTTACAAAAATGTCACTGTCTGTTTTCATGACATACTTGGCTTTCGAACAAAAAGTGGCCACCCATCTCATCCCCATTAAAGTTTTGAGGGTAAGGTTATGGTAGGAGTCAATGAAGTCCTCCACGATAATGTCGTGGAAGATTTGGCTCTCTTGCTCCACCATCTGATTCAGAACAGGGTCGGTGTTCTTGCCCAGGAGAAACAGAGTGGCTATCTTGATCCCCTTGAAGTTGTTTTCATCTCCCCATGTCTCTCGGATGGCCTGGCGGGCGTCAAATTCTTTGTGGGTGGTGCTGATGAGGATAACAAGGAAAGGAATGTTTTTCTCACATTTGTTGGGCTCATTTATAAGAAATTCGAAAGAATGTGGGTTTATAGGTCGAGTTCTTATGTTGCCAAATGTGAAGTTTTTCCTGGCAACTGTTAGGTGGCTGAATGGCTTGGAGCCAGTGTAGGAAGAAGTAGGACGAGTTACGCTCAAGTACCAGAGGGCGCTGGCCCAGCACACAACTGTCAAAACATACAAACAGGAGACTTTTGAAGCCATGGTCTTGAGAGCACGTCTATTCCAAATACTGAAGAATATGCCTTCTTGGCATTAGTTTCTTGTCATCTTGCAAGGGCAGCATATTATTAATTAATCTTCAAGTTGGATGGAGAAGTGTGAGCGTAGGATTGTCCATGGGTCTCAGTGGCAGTCTGGTATCTCTCCATTCATTTTATTTGCTTCCACACCCGATGGGAGGTTCCATGCCTCATAGATCTTCCTCTTAACTCTGCAAAATCAATAAAGTAAAGTTGCTCAGATTTATGTAGTTATTTCATATTCTCAAATAAACATAAAATGGGTATAAGAATTGCTCATGATGACTAAAATAAACATAATCATTCATTTCCATCAGTACTGAAAACTTCTTGACACAACCAGCCTCCCTTTTCTTCCCTTGATAGAAGTGGTTTGTGGAGAATTATACCCAATAACAAGTGTACAGATTGTGAACTCTAGATGAATATGAGGTACACTGAACATTAGTAACTAAAACAAGTTTCCCTCTCTTCACAAGGGTTCTTCTTTGCAGTTAAACGCTTTCTGACACTAACGTCTTCTTTCAAGCAGGGGACTCTCACACAGCCTCATACCTCTTCCATTTTTCCAGCTCTGAGTTTTTGTTTGCTTGACTCTGATGAAGAAATCAGTTCTCAACAACTCTTTGCTTTCTCTAGCCCCATATGTGAAAATGTGTCGATCGCCACTGGAAAATCTTTGCTAAAATTGTCTCCTTTGGTTCAGATTTAGAAACAATTCCCAACTTTTCCTCACTTTTTCTTGACTTTGGCTCCCACAAATGTTAGTTCCTACCCCTCAGTTTTCTGTGACGCTTCACTTGGAGAATATCCTTACTCCTCATGCTTGAAGACCATCACACAAGTGTCTTTTCAGACAGCTGGCAGCACTCATTTGGGAGTTGATCTAAATGGTATCACTTTTGTGATTTTCAACAATTCACCCTTATGTTCCCTTGATGAAGTTATATTGCCCCTTTTAATTCTTCTTTTTAAAAATATGTCTTTATTGATTTTTAGAGAGAGAGAAAGGGAGAGGGATAGAAAAATATTAATGTGAGGGCAATACATCGATTGGCTGCCTCCTGCATGCCCCCTACTGGGGATTGAGCCCACAACCTGGGCATGTGCTCTGACTGGGAATCAAACCAGTGACCTCTTGGTTCATGGGTCGATGCTCAACCACTGAGCAACACCAGCTGGGCTTAATTCTTTTTATTTAGTTATACTTCATGCAAACATATCAGGAATATAATAGGAGAGACAATTGAGCTTGGGGGCCACAAGTTCACTGAAGATGTGACACAGTCCTTTAATTGGTGTTCAAATAAAAAAGTTGTCCTTTGGAACTCAAATTCTTTCTAGAACTTCAGCTGCTATCATGCCAGTTAAAAATATGTGCCAAGTTACAAAGTCCATTCATGTAAAAATTTGTCTCTTTCTTCCTAGCTGGAGCAAAATGTGGTAGTCCTGGACGACAGAGATAGCAGACAATGGAGATCAATTTCAACAAAGTCTGCTTCAAAGAAGACTATGAGCTTAAATGTACAGACTGTGTTGAAAAAATTTAACTGGGATTACAGACTGCAAGTCATGCTTCTGAGCACAATAGTCATAATGAAATGAAAAGACACGATGGGCAACAGCAAAGATGATACACGCCTCTGTCTAAGCCAAGAGCTGACTGACTATATGATCTATATGAGGCCAGCAATAACCAGTGTGGTCACCGTTCTAACTAAATGAATATTAGAATGGCTTTAAGCAGCATGACTCTAGGCATAGTCAGGCCTTCTCACATTGGGATATATAGACATCACCTCCATTTGAATTCCAATGGGATTGAGTCTCAAGAGGATACTAGAAACCAAACTTTCTCCACCATTTTCCTAGTCTACTTAGCTGATTGTTGTTAGCCTATCTTTATCCTCAGACAGCCCTTGTTGCCTTTCATACTTTCCTACTAAATTGTGAGCCACCTATTACTTAGCTGTTAAGGGACCCAAAGAGTCTCATCTGGAAGAGGTTCTTATTAAGTTCTCTACTGGAACCACTAACCAGGCTGTTGATGGGGGATTAATGGTGTATGAGAAGTACTGGAAAAACAGGAATAGAACCCAGACTCTTCCTCAAGGAACTCATAGTCTATGAGGAAAGACTTCAAATAAATGGCTTAAAAAGTGGGATAACAATTTCTGTCACAAGGCTATTGGAGTACACAGAGGTGGTCTGGTGGACAGGAGGTGAGAGAACCAGGCACTGTCTTGCAGACTGTGCACAGTACAGCTCCACAGGGTGACATTCTCATAGACTGCAATGGGAATCCCACTCCTCCATCCCGCCCTGGAGTCAAATGATGAGTTAGCCCTGGGGAGGATGCCATGGAAAAACTTCAGCAAAGTTATCTGAGCTGAATCTTCAAGGACAACTAGGGATTACCTGGGTGAGAATTGGGCATTCTAGGTAAAGGGAACAATATATTCTAAGGCATAAAATGAGAGAGGTATGTGCCAGGAGTGCAAATAGTGGAGTGAGAAAGGAGGACAGGGTGATGGGGAGGAAGATGGGAGTGGTGAGCTTTGGAGCGAGAGAAGCAGGGTCAGATGGGGAGGGGCACTCAGAAACTGTTCTGAGCTGAGTAGCTGCTTACCCATCTTTGCAATCGAAAGGGGGCAGAGGAGGGTTTTACTTTCCCCAAATCCTACCCACTGAATTCAATAGCAATTCATTCTTCCACATTAAAGATTTCTTTCCCAAAGTTCTATGCCCCAGATGGGTAAGTGACAATTTGTTTTATCCGCTACCTTTCTGTGTGATTTTCTGGGGAAAGGGGCTCCATAAACACAGGTAGCGGGAGATTTAGAAAGAGCTAAAAGAGGGAGAAATAGGAGATAGGTGAGATCATGAACAAGTTTATGTATTTATAAACACTTTTCATGGAACAGTGAGCAATTTTCCCCAGACAGCTAGCAGACATGATGCTTCATGCCATTGTTATTGCAGGCCTCACTTTAAACTGTGGATGCACACCAGGCACTGCGCTGTGTTCTATGCCATATATTTTATAGAGCTTCATTCCCTACAGTGTTATGAGAGGCATTGTCTCCATTTTACAGATGACAGAATGTAAACTCAAAGATATGAAGTAGCTTGCCCCAAATCACACAGATAGTGAGTGAGTAGCTAGAGGTGATTTCAAGCTTCCTATGGCCTGTTAGGACAACAGGCAAAATCTTGGATGGGAAAGCTCAGGGTGGCAGGAAGCATCTCCGGCTGCTAGTCTCCCGGGGATCCATATGTTCATTTTCATAGACGTGTGCTCAGTTCTTGGATATTTTTCTAGTTCATTTTGGTTTGCTACACAGCACACTATAGCAATTCTGTGGGGATTCTTAATCATGAAAAAATGATGATTTGCAAAAAGCACTTTAAATCTTAAAGATGCTGGGGGTGGAGAGCTGCAACTGTTGAAGGGGTTCAGAAACACTCTGCAGTTCACTTTCTCTGAACTGAAACACACACACATATACACACACATGCATATGCATACGTGCACGCACACACACACATGCTGAAATAATCTATTGACTTTATTTTTCAAACATGAGAACAAAAGTAGGCACAGTACTCTATCTTTGTCACTAGCAAATGCAAGTTATCACCTATAAAAACAGGGGACTTGAAATGGGACAAGGAACTAGCCTAGAACTGAAGAGCTGCCAAAAATAATGATGAAAGGGTGCTAAAAAGGTCCCTTTTGCTTACAACAAAACAGATTTTTCAGGTGCCCAAATACAAACATATGCCTCTTGACCAGAACCAGTAATATAAGACTGTGTAGTGGCACAGTGCATTTAACTCTAAGGAGTAACTGCATATCTATTGGATTAAGTAGTTGGTAATGGGCCATATGTTCCTGTTTTACTCTGTAGTAATCCTAACTTGCTATGTGGCTTTCTGTGCATCAGTAGCCTTAAGAATAAAATAAGGGCAAAAATAATATCTGCTTAATCTGCAAGTACATTATAGGCATTAATGGCCATTGCTAATCGTTTGAGTTTCTGGGGAAAAGCTGCTGTACAGGCAGATGGTATTATGATACAAAGAGCAGGATCTAACGGGATGAGGGGATTATGTCAGGTCATCGGGTCCTGATTTGGGATCCTGAGCACATATACCAATCAATTCTCCTAAATACATAGGATTGGTATCGGTTTCTTGGTTTGTCCATCTAACATTAGTGAATATACTATACAGATATTCCTGATAGAGAATTCTGTTTTCTATCTGGAAAACTCAAAAACAAAGGTCCACTGAAAAGCCAAAGTCCACTGAAAAGTTCTGGGGAAGGAGCTGAGTGTCACAAAGCTCAATCCTCTGGGGGATTCTTTCAATTTTACAAGATTTAAAATCTTGTTTAACCGACATGTTAACGTATCAGTAAAATAGCAAGTTGCAGGTACAACGTTTGTCATTCCTTTTAGCAGCCCTTCCACAACCACAGACACTTATGACACATTAACTTGTCATCTGTTAAATACAAATCCCTGCAAACAGAAACATTCACTAGAACACTTGAAAGATTGTTCCCCCAGGGGCCTTGCTGTATCTCAGATTACCGCATTTGCAGAACTCCCTAGGAACTACCCACCTCCACCTTTCAGGAAGTTAATGGGGCAGAATTTTCAATTTAAGGAGCACATGTTTCTCCTAGAAATTGCATGGTGGATAGTCTGTTCTTTTGAGTAATTTTTTTTTTTTAAAGCCCCTAAATTTGCTAAAGTTCTTCTGTTGTATGGCCAGAAGTAAGTCCTGGAAGCAGGTGGGTACTGTCTCTTGGGTGGCCTGTGCCTAGTTTGGGGTGCCAGGTTCTTGTCTTTCCCTATTAGGGTTCAGACAGGTACAAATCTACACTGATTTCCTATGCCTCGATTACCACTTAGTTGGCTCCGCAGATGTCCCATCTTCCCTATTCTCATGGGCAAGGCCACAGGGCCCCACCAAGTGGCCTGCTTGCACTCTCTGGTGTCTCAAAAAACATAGTATCTCCAGGTTCAGATTTCCCTGGATTTTCAAATCTACTTCATTTGTTCATCAAAGATGTGCTGAACACCTGTTAGATGCTAGGCACTGTTCTGCATGCTGCAATACAGGCGGGGAGCTTACTTTCTAGGCGAGGGAGGCAGAAAATAAAACACCTGGTAAATAAATG